GGTTCATCTGATCAACAGAAAATACACAATATTATTTTCTCAGGTACTATACTATTGTCCCAGGAAAATTATCAAATGGCATATATTTTACAGATACAATTAGTATGATATACTAACACACAGAACACATTTGAGTGTGATATCAACTTACCAGCAAGCATTCATTAAGTTAGTATTGACTGCAAAATACCGTGAACTCTGTAGTCTTAGCAATACAAGAAATTCAGGATAAAAACAAAAACAAAAACAAAATCCAGACATACCTGCAGCCTTGAAGGGCCCTTGGAGGAATCCTTGCAAACTGCAACAAAAAGCAAATGAAACCCAACTTGAGAGAGCCACAGTTCTCAAACTTTAGTGAGCATTGGAATCACATGGAGGACTTGTTAACAAAATGATTAGTGGGCCCCACCCCCGAGTTTCTAATGCAGAAAGTCTGAGAGGGCAATGAGAATTAGCATTTCTAACAAGTTTACAGGTGATACTAATGTTGGTCCAGGGACCACACTCCGAATCACTGTGATTAGAGATCCTTTGAATTGTACTCTGACAAAGGAGTAGAATTTCAGATACTGACAAATAATGTGCTTCAGTATCAATAGGAGGCATAATCCTTCAAACTCTTACTTCTCTCATCTTAGTGATTTGGTGGGCTCACTCTACTCTTGAAGAGCAGAATGAGAATGACGAAACCATGACTCCTTGCCCAACAACTCAATACACACTGATGTTTTCTTGGCTTCAGCCAGGGTCCTGATATCTCAGAAAGGAATGAAAAAGCAGTTTTGCCACATTTTAAGTCTTATTGAGTTCCTTCTTTATTCCATTGCAAATAATTTCAATTTCCTCTGAAACTACATGTGTTGTTTAATTTTAACACACCCGATTTCTCACATTCTGGGGATGATCAAGAATACGAAGGAGGTGTTGGTAAAGTTTTCTTTTATGGATTAGTTTGACTGATTGTAATGGCTGAAATAGTCACAACTTCCCAAGTATTCTTGCTACTCTTATCCTTAGAGGTAAAACAAAACAAAACAAAACCAATTCTAAAAGCATTTAAACTGCATACTGGAGCTGGAGAATAATCAAAGGGATAATACACTGACTCATGAGAATAGTTTTATTCCCAATTCTGCTATCATTTTACCACTAGAAGTAATTTGAGTTCTCACTGCTCTAATTTTTGTATTTGTAAAGTCGAGATAATATTTGCCATGAGACGCATTGAAAGCTTGAACATGCTTTGGGGGTTATTGGGAAAGGAGAAGAATAAAAAACTATTACTCTACTTTGAACTTTGGAACTCAAACTATAAAACAAGAGGAATCTATACTCTTTCAGCAACAAACCAGTTGAGAAGGCATTTTCCTACTATTAAGCTACTCATTCTCATGACAAATGTATATTGGACTCCGATACTATCAAGTACTTTACAATCATTTTTTCTAATGTTTTTTTATTCCATATCTCTTGCAGGTGATACAACTAAAGACAAGAGAATTCAAATGCTATCTAAGAGAAAACTTTTTCCATAAAGGGCCAAGTGGTAAATACTTTTGACTTTGCAGGCAACATATGAGCATGTGATCACATATGATCATGAGTCATGTTGAAACTGGGACAAATAATCACCACTAATCTTTATCATGTTTTATTTTCCCATAAAAAGCATCAGCATCCCTTCCCTCTTTCATCTTATTTTACTATATACTCAGAGTTGGTCAGTAATAAATAGCGAGGTAGAATTTGCTACCTAAGTATTTGTTTTTTTAGTTTAAAAAAATCAATAACGTTGTAAGCATTTCTTAGGGGGCCAGATGGACCAATGCCCTTTTGGGGAGTCCACTTCATAGTTGATGTAGAGGCCTGACCACCGCATTGTATTTCTGAAACTGATGTTGAATAATACT